GCCGATAATACATGATAACCATAGTTGAATTATTGAAGAAGAAAAAAAATGATGACACTGATCGATGCTTATAATCTTTGCACTGCATTGCGTTTACTCCACCCCTAAAAACAATAATACAGCCGGCGTCCTTAGAAGCCAATGAGCCATTAGTAATTGTACTTGATTGCAAAAGGCTTTTAGTCAAATGGATCTATACCCCACCCAAGAGCAAACCAATTAATTTGTCAGGATTATGCATAATTTGCATACGATATAGGGCGGTGCCAGACGATTATTGCTTTCCATCTATATGGAAGGCAATATCGTGTATTAGTTCTGCATAATGTGTCAAGTATAATGGTAAAGAGATATTTAGTGTATGCCGTATATATGGAACATTTTGGACTTTGTTTTCTGGCCTACTGATTTTTAATTGTTGAAAATTGATGTGTGGTCAATTTAGTGAAACCGTAAACAAACATTACTTAGTGGTCATATCAAGTGATTTCAAAAAGAAATAAAACATAAAGCAATACTTTGTTGAACATCTTAAATGTTATCACGACATAACTCGTATAAAGGCAAACTAAACAGAGAGACAGGAGAGATAGAGAGAGAGAGAGAGAGAGAGAGAGAGAAAGAGAGAAAGAGAGAGAGGGAGAGAGGGAGAGAGAGAAAGATAGATAGAAAAGAGGGAGACAGACAGACAGACAGACAGACAAAGAAAGAGGAGAAATAATAGAGAAATCGTAATCAATCAGACAAACAATCTAAGAATGGTAAATTATTTCAAATGAACAGTATCTGATCTTTCAGTGTGAAAAGGCAGACAAATAACACAAGGAACAGAAATCTTTTTTTTGTATCAATATTTTCTTCTTCTTTATTTTGTCTGAGTAAAACTTTTTACTGTCTTGATGTGTTTACATGTATTACCACATCAGGCTGTAAACCAGTACAAAATCAACAAAAACAATCAAATTTACAAACCAAAATATCAAATGTAACAATTTTTTACAAAAATTTAACTTTCTGACACTTTTTGAATACCAATAGCTCCATAAACAAGTGTTCAGTCATGAATATATCATGCAAAAAATTCATGATACATAATGTGCAGTCCTCCGTTGAATATCATGACTTTAGCCATTAAGAACGTTGCAAATAATTATATATATCTAAGCAAATATACATTACAAGCATTTAAACTGTATAGTTACACTATCATTAGCCTTGGAATGTCATTCATCATAATGGGTTTCTGAATAAATACTTACATTTACGTATTAACCGGTAAAGACAAGGCTGTTATGCCAGTGCTGTGTAAAGTAAATGTCTATTTACGTATATCATTCATGTTCTTGATAAATATTTTATGTTCTCATGTCCATATAAAAAACAGAGCATTTTTTTATTTTAAATTTTTAACATATTTCACAGAACTATGACTATGACTTAAGGCAAAAATGCAGTAGAGTATTTGTACAAATATCTGTACATTGTGTTTAAAAAAACCCAGTAATGCATGATACTTTCATGATGATAACATGTATTTCAAAGTCTTTTGGATACATGTTTAGTGAATTGGAGTGTAAATGTAAATTGATATACTAATACATTTAATATAAATACATGTATAATTAATATTATCATTATTCATCATTATAAATATGCCTTTGTTTGTGAGAAACAAGAAATCAGTATAGTTTAGGCCTACCTGTTCATACCTCTTAATTAAGATTTTAACAACCTGACCATGTGCTCATATGATATAACCCACAAGAAGTAATATCCCTTTTTTTTGGGGGGGGGCAAATCTTTAGCTGTTGTATGAAAATATTTAATTGCTGTTGGTTAGTATTCAACTTATTTTTCTTTCTTACTTCCTGCAGCAAAAAATATAATTGTTCCCCTCTGTTGGCAAATTTGGTTGGGCACCCCATTCAATTTTTGTAAGGAGGCCCCTAATGAGCGCCATAACCTTCCATACGCCATGCAAGTTCCATAATAGTCTATACATGCATTCAAATTTATTCACGCATTTCCTGGTTCAAATCCTGGTTTATACACAATAGTTACGACTGTTAGACGTATAGATAAAAGAGGAAATACTTTTTTTAAATAAAAAAGTTTGAATAGATGCAAACAAAATCCTAGCATTCAGTGATTGAACGATTCAACAATCACTAATAACACACCTGCTATTCAAACAATATAGGACGAGGGCATGGGCTTTGTGTACATGCACAAAAAGAGAAGAACATACACTGATCAAATTGCATGAGACTTGCATTTGAAAGGTGATTTGGATTACATATAGAACTGAGTCATTGTTAGTTAAAGGTGATACTCCTTGCTTTTTCACTATTTCACAAGGGAAAATATGATATAACTGCTTCCGAATCAATTTGAATATGAATGAATACAGGTTTTAAGAATCAAGTTTAAAAAATGTATCTACTGAATACCCACAGAAAATCTAGAGCAATGGTACATAGAATTTGTAATTTTTGGGAAACAGTTAATCCTTTTCCTGAATACAATTACCATATTTGAACATTTGCACTGACAGTTATGATTGTACATATCCAATTAATTTGGAACATTTTACTATTCTTATGTCAAAAAAGAAGTAAATATGCAGCAAATTTGATGAATAAATTGGCATTTCAAAAATAATCATGAAGTTGTTCCTTTAAAAAATGTTGAGGAATTACATGTAATGATGTTCAAACAATACAATCATGTTTGAAGAAGAAAGAAAAATATCCCAAAATACATTAAAGCATTTGTGATACAAGAATATGTTTATTCATTCTCCCTAATGCCTTAAGTACACAATACATTACATTACTCTGATTGATGTAGAGAAAAGATTAAAGATTTCAAAACATTATGATGTCTCATTACTCAATATTTTGCACCTTAAGATTCTATTTCCATGAAGACAACAGTTGGGGGCAAATGAAAAACACATTTTAGTTAAAATGTTGATGATATTTGTGAAGGTATACTCCCCCTACTCTTATTTCTTTTTAAGGCATCAGTATGAGTTCAGCTCTGGAGTCAAAAAGATTTATTTTTCATGGAGTCACTTCCTGGTTTCGAAATTCCTTTTCATCAAGTTCAAATCTGGTTTTCCATACCATGTAGATCATGGGAAACAGCTAGACATGCACATAAATTCTCTGTACATCTATGAGTGTAACCACAATTCTTTTAAATGTGGGATGGAGGGGGGGGGGGGGGGGGGGTAGTGAATGTGACAATAAATAATATTGATTAGAAGGTGGGACAACAGTTGGTTAAATCCAATAAGCCTAAAAAGGGGTTCATTGGAGCTCTGTACGTGCTGCATACAATATGAAGCATAATAAAAACTGAAGATGAGCGTAATTTCAGACTATAGAAAAGGAAGAAGAAGAGCTAATATTTGCTGACACCTAGTACTACCAACAGGATTCTAGTGCGCCAACAAATTAAGGCATATGTTGAGAAATATCTTAAACCCAATTATTTGGGGGTTGGGGCAATTGCCCTCGAGCCCCTACTTTTGGCTACACCGATGTGTACAACTTTCAGACAAAATTCCAGCAAGAGACATGTAACTGGTATAACTGAGATGGTCATTGTATAATCTTTGTTAACTCTTTCAGCAGATACACCTGCTCTTGTCAAAGTAAATTGCTAGAAAACAAGAAACATCTTCTTCATGCTACATCAATATGCAGATACAAGTAAGCTGGGGTTTTTAAGGTATTAATTTTATGCCTATTTTTATCAATTTTGAGACCAAACTTCCTTCAAAACCAGATAGACTTAATTTTCTTTTGAAATCACAAAACAGAAACTGATAATTAAATTTCATAACTTATCAAAATACATGTACATTGTGACCCCAAGACTTAAGCAAGTTATAGGGAAGCTTTAGGCAAACATTTTTGAAACATTTTTTTATAATGTATCAGTTCCTGACGAAACAAACAATTTGTTTCTTTTAACACAAGAGGATCTCAGAACTAGATTTTAAATAGGATGAAAATGAATAAAAGGAACTCCAAATATATAACTTGGTTTCATAATCCCCAACAATGCAATCAATCTCTTTTTTCTCCATGCAAAACACAGAAAATGTCATTTTCTGAAAAAAGCAGACACAGGGCAAATATGATCTTTGGATCTTTGAGAGAGGAGGAGGGGGGGGGGGGGGGGGGGTGTTAATAGCTTACTCATTCATGACATGAATTTGACTGATGTAAGATGGGATTTAGAAGGGGAGGATTACTTGCGAGTAATTGATGACTAACTGGTATGACAAGGATGTGAAGAGTGTCTATGATGATGGATCTTGTTACTGAAATAGCTTCAAGTAGGTCCAAGTATTCTTAACATGAACTTGAAAAGTAAGCACCTCTTAAACGTTGTCAAGACTCAAGAACTATTGTCCTACTATAAGGACGACTACATATTCAAATACAGGTGTATACAAGTCATGTTGAGGATTAAAAATGATACTTGTGTCTTTGAGTTATTATTAGTTTTTGAGGGTTGATACCAGTTCTTTTGAGAGCCAGAAGGGCGTTAAATCCATGTTGGAGGATGTGATTAAATGTCCTTCCGGCTCTATAAGCATATTAAAGTTTCCTTGAAAGGGAAGAAGAGCCTTAGAGATCTGCTAAGATACTTTCAAAGCCTTGTGATTCTCACTGTTCACTGATCCCCATGTTCTTATTGTTTTCAAGTGTATCATCCAAAAAATACTTCATGCACAAAGGGTTCTTACCATACAATTCTAGACAACTAACCATGCACAAAAGCTATGAAACTTTGTAACAGTGTCAAAGTCACTCTGAAGCTAATCAGTATTACCTTGGTTTTATCAAGAAGCTTAATCCTACGTCCTTTGTCATAATCAACAAAAACTGACACAAGGCTGACAATGGGCCCAATTTAACCTGACATTACCCTCAACATTGGTCAGTTCAGAGTCGGTTTGAAGAAATATTCAGCTGATTTTGATTCAATGAATGAGCATGTGCCTATCAAAAGGACGTTTTAAACAGAGGCATTGCTAGTTGTGTATTCGTAATGCTGCTTGCTGCTAACGACCTTTTGTGAGGCACATAATTATAATCAAGCAGTATGAAATATAATTATGTCCAAATTTGCATCAGCATATAGTAGATATTTGGAACCATCTCAGATATAAATATGCCATTGCAAACTCTAATATCTTTACAAAAAATCTGCATACATAATCATAGCTGTTAATTACAAAATTAAGCAATTATGTACTTCATATCTTAGCAAAACTTAGTATATACTGAGTAACATGCAAGTGATTACAAGAAGTATATATATCAAAGTTTGGCAAGGTGTTCCATTAAAAAATTCTCTTATTTCCATCTACAACATCATCAAATAAATAAGAGTATGCACCTTTCCCTGTATCATTAACATGTCCCGTTTCAGAAATTCTAAATAGGATATTTCATGCTATATATATTTTACAAATGTACAATGTATAATTGCAAGGCATTTGATACAAAGTGATTAGGTATTTTATACATGTAGGACAAGGCCTCTTTGCAAACTTTATGACAACATAATATTTATTCTTTTGTTCATACAGTGTCTGAATGTGCTTCCAAAGAACTTTGGAAATGATTGCCCCACCCTTAGTTGCAGCGACTAGGGCACAGTACATTTTAATGAATGAATCCTACAACTGGTTGAAAGAGTGGAAAATGTGGATTTGAACCCAAAACCTTGGCATCCCTAATGAAGTGTTTGAAGAAAAACAAACTTCATGATAGATCCTAGCTTTACCTAAATGCAACTCATTTTGTGATGCATGGATAATAGAAAAATATTTTGTGATCTGCTTTTCCCTACTTGTTTTATATTCTTGATATGGTTGGTTGTATCTCATCAGGAGTAAGGCACTCACTTACAAAAGGAAAAAGGTAAAGCATGGAGACATCAGTAAAATATACAACTGGTATTCCTATAATGACTGTTCAGTCTTTGCATGCAATCTCAATCAAAAATTATAAATGCCAAAACATCTATTTTTTTATAGATGAGCCCCTGAATTTAATCATCTGACATTGTAGCAGCATTACTATATTTCAAGCTGAATACACTCTACAATAGAAATATCAAACAAGAATCTAATTTATCAGTGTTAGTTAGATTCTAAGAAAAGAAATGACTGATCATGACTGAGGCATGTAAGGCGCTGAGTGAAAGACGAGACATAATTAAAGGTTTACAACAATATGATGTATACAAATAGAATTGAAGAAGAGCAGTGAATAAAAACGTAGTAAAGCTTTCATCTGGCATAAGTCAGAATAAACTGCAAGAATGAACAAAAAGTTAAAATTGGACAATACCAACAGAAAGTAAGTATTCTTTATCCACCGTTATTCTTCAATTTTGTGGTACAAATTATCTCTTTAGTATACAAATATATGGTATATATAAATATATATATAAGTTTATACTTTTAAATCTATTTTTCCAGAATATACAATAGAATCAACTGCAGAAAAATGACAGGTTTAACAAAAATACACTTTGCACGACAATCACGCTCACAACATGAATTGCATATACTGCACAGAAACATACAAAATATTCAATTTTTTAATCATTTTAATTTCAAAATACTTAATAAGAAAATAGTGTATGTGCTATTTACAATAGAAATAAGAGTTAGAAATAAGAAATTAGAAAGGACTTCCATTTTGGGTGGATGAATCTTGTGTGCTATATTTTGGTTCTAAACATTATGAAACCCTCATAACATGTATTCTTTCAACTTAAGTTACATGAATATCTATCTACCTGTAAATATCGTTTTCTAGTGTTGGTTTGAAAATTTAAGTCCAGAGGCAAAACAGATATATGAAAAATAACAATTTTAAAAATTTGGCATATAAATAGGCTCTTAAAAGTGGAAAATGTTCAGCTATGTTCTATAAAAAAACTCCTCTTGACATATCAATTTAAGATGGGGTAAATTTGTAAAGAAATCCTTGCACAAAACTGAATATGAAATTTCAATAGCATCTTTCCACAAATAGGCTGCCCGGAATACCTACACATTTAATATGCAAACTTGAGTTTTTGCCTAGATTATTCAAGACATTATGTCTCAAATTTCATAATTGAATAAAGACATATTACAATGTCATTGAACAATAACAATCAAGTCTTTGTCTTTATTGGGGTTTTTTTAGGCTAGATACAAAATAACTACATTTCCTTGCAATAATAGATACTATGATAAAGCTCCTGACTAAACTCTTTTATTTACAATCATATGCACATAGATTCTTACACAAAATTGAATTCAATTAATAATTATAAATTTTAAGTATAAAAAATAGCCTACTGCCTGTGACACTCCGGGCACTTCTGTAGGCCATTCTCATCGCAGTACGAGCATTTGAGCGCTATAAAGGAGTCTGTCCAGTTGTTACGTAATAACGACTTCTTGCTACCATTGCAAAATGTACAGGGTATGTAGCGATGACCGCCGCACCCATTGCAGCTGATCATAGGATTGTGCTTCTGTAAAACAAAAAAACCAAGAAAGAAAGAAAACGGTGATTAGGGATAGCTATAACATAGACAATAACATTTTTTAATGACAGACTATTATTACTTTTGAAAGGATGAACAGTGCACAATTCCCTTGTAAAATTTTTGGAAAACAGATTGATTAATTTCAAGCAGGAATATTTGATTATTTGCTTATAACCCTTTGAGCTTAGATTCATTTTTGGGTTACATCATTTCAGTTGTTGAATTAGACCCCTTTAACTAATTTCAATAATATGTAAATAATTATGTCATTCCCTTAAAATGGAAACAATCTACATGTACTGTATGTAAAAGCTCTCTAAGATAAGATGTACTTTGGCACCAGATATCCGTTGAAAGTATTAAACTGTCAGAATTAATCCAAAGGTATTAATTGCATATAAATATATAGGGATGGACATTGTTTCATATCCTAAACTGATGTTTGGTCCAAATCACATTCATATTTTTCCAAGGTCACAATCACATGTACATGAAGACAGTTCGTAAATTTTCTTCAAATCAAGGTATTCAAGTTTATTTCCACATTTGGTTAAAAACAAAGAAATACAATCAATCAACAAAGATTCATAATAATTGTCTTCTATTCATAATGTAGTGGGAGTAACAAAGGCTAACAGGCTAACAAAGTTAATTCCCAGACAAAATAATGAAGTGCAGGTATTTCCGAATGATACAAGAATAGGATATATTGTTGTCTTTAATAGGATAATATCTGGAAAGTATGAATGCAAAGACTTTAAAGGAATCAACCTAGAATTTTTTTTAATTTAACCTTGTCGATCCATCACCTTTTGAAACATGTGAACAGAACATGATGTATCAGCTCATGATCTCTATGGAATATGGTATTAAAAGTGCCCTTGAGCTAGACTTGAGTTATTTTCTTGAATGTCTTTCTGATTGTGTTTCTAATACAATGGGTGTCTTGGCACATCAGAGGATATCTATGTTTAGATCTCAGTGGTGTCACACACATACTCATTGTGAAAGCAAAAATGTCATGAATTGTAAACGACAACCATTCCCATGGCAAGAAACTCTTATAAATCACAACTTAAAGCTAAACTTGAGTTCTGGTAATGCGATTGCATTGTGAAAGAAAAGGTGTGGAATGGATCAGAAAAGTTGATCATATAGCATGTAAGTAATGGTGTGTAATGCAAGGTTCTGGAGTCATCAAAATCATCATAAATTTGGCAGAGTCTTGGTAAAGTAACAATCACTTACACAGAAAGATGTGTATGGGACAACACACATGGTGTCGGGGCTAGTACTACCCTGATTTCCTTATCTTTCTATGCTCATTACTCAGCCAGTATACATTTTCTTCCAAAATTGTTTGGCACATGACATTTATTTGTAATATTGAACATTCAGTGTATAAGTTTCGTTAGATAATGTGAGAATTCTTTTTCTTTTTTTACCAGAACTCAAGGATATCTTTAAATTCAGTGTTGAGTCAATATTATTGCGGTTGAATCCTTAAGTAGCAGAAAAAAATGAACCACTTCTGAAATTCACGAACTTTTCATGCATGCGACCATGAACGTCTGGATTACTGTACTCAATTGACTGGATGTGCACATTCATGTGCACCTACTTCCTTATCTATTCTATGCGATACAAATGAATGAATTCTAACTCAGCCTTGGAGTAGACAAAGCTTATCCTAGCTAAGTCATTGATAAAGAACACACGTCAGTCGTGCAAGAAACTTGACAACAATAGACATGTAAAGATATGCTGACACATCCCGGTTCATTAGGTTGTGCACAATAGATATGAATTAAATTAGGAAACAAAACTGTAACAAAGAATTAAACAAATTTTATTTGAATTTGCAAGGTTAACAAAATAGTTACCCCCTTGTTTGTTTGCACAAAGATAATGTGATATATGTTCATGTCCCAGATTATTATGAAACTAAGAGATATACTGACAAATAAAATAGACAAAAGAAAAATAGATTGGAGGTTGGAAGATAGAAGGAGAGATAGGGAGAGAGAGAGAGGGGATAGAGAGAGGGGATAGAGAGAGGGGGGAGGAGAGAGGGAGAGACAGAGGGGCCAGAGAGACATACAGAGGGGTTGCAAGTGACACACCTGGCACTAATCGATATACGGTACTGAAACATATGGAGAGAAAGAGAGAGAGAGAGAGCAATTAAGAGGGTAGAAGCAGAAACAACCAGGGACAGAGAGATATAGTAAATGAGGGCTTAGAAAGATACAGAGATAGACACATAGAAAATAATGAAATCAACATTTTCCTGCAGAAAATAATAAAGAAAGAAAACAAAATTGAGCTAAAGAAATTTGGAGGGTGGTTTGATATATAATTTTCACAAAAAGAGTTAATCTTTAATCATTGTGTGTGGGTATTCCTCTGCGTTTACTGTTTATCATACCATGGACCTGCATGTGTATGTTTGTTGGTATAAGCAAGTGTAAGACACTTGACATAGTAGAGCTAAAATGTAAGACATTGATTCTTCTAACAAAACAAAAAGTTGTTAAACCCCAAAGCCGATGTAACAAGTAGTTCCTGCATCATAACATTGACAAAAATCCACTTGTACATTGTGTATCCGTCTTCAGCCACAAACATGCAGTGACACATTCCGTCCAAACTTTGAGGGGGTCATTTGCATTGTAAATTAGCAGTGATGCTTTGACCGAGTTAGGTATTGATCGATGGTCCAGGAACGGAACAAAGACTTCATGGAACACAATAACAACCACCTATAAGAGAGGGGGGTCTGTGTTGTATAGGCCCATAAAGAAAGTATATCTATGTACAGAGTATGCATGAGTGGTTAAGTACTGAGCTAGATGACTTGCATCGACTATTATCAATTGTCTCTCTTACAACTAGGTCTTTTGGCAATTCCTTTGAAGGGAGCAGGTACAGTATACCAAAACATGGGAAGATGATGCAAAACAGGTCATTATTATCTTGAAGTTACTTTACTATATCACCATCATAAAAAAAAACCTGAACTTATACAGTAGGCAACATAATGATTGGATTTGTGGGAATGATGAGGTGATATAGATGCTTGGAATTTCGCCCCAAACCTCAAATCAATATCGGTTGTTATTGACCATGCTTTCAAATTAGCTGGCATTATAACAGTATAGCAAAAAGCCTTATCGACTATAGGATACTTTGTAAAAAATAATGGGCAAACAAATAGGACTCTCTTCTTTAGCACATATCCTCAGTTATGTTCTTTCATTTTAAACTTACTTTTCTGTTTCTGACTTGACCAAATCACCTTTCCCTTTTCTGTGCTAGCTTGATCTCTATCTCATTTATCCTTCTTACAGCATAAGTTGTTCACAGCCACATCACTAATGATGAGCTTTCATACTATTTATTTCATCATCGATCTGCTTCTCACTTTTGCTTTATTCTTCTACAAGTTTATCCTTTAATACATATCTCACATCGTTCTCCCACTTCCTTTTCTTTTCAAGAATTTCTATAAATGGAATTTAATAAAATTGACATAATTTGACAATCGAGTCATTCCTGTTTCTTTCATCAAAACCAGTGAACAAAATCATTTCTTACAAATTGTGACTAAAATTTGCCCTTGCATTTTTCTTTTTTTTTTAAATACAAAGACAGACCTGCTATTCCCAGTGTTATTTTTATTGTATACTACTGTCAACACTTATCCAAACAGGCAATTTCACAGGTGAATTCCTTCTTTCATCCAAAACAGAAAATGAAGATAAATGACTATAAAAGTTGGAATGCCAAAGTTGCATTTTTAATTGTAATTTTACTACCTGCCATCAAGCTTGAATACCTTTCTTGAAAAGAAAAAACAAATTATCCACAGTGAAGGATGGTATAACTAATTTGTAGTCCTGTCATTTTATGCCATGTTTTGGAAAAATATGTCATTTTACTTTGATGGGTTTAAACTTTAACATACAAAAAATAGTTTGGAATTTCTCTCTCTTTTTGTATTTTTTTCAGAGTTTTATGATTTTCTTCCCATGTCATAGTCTTCATATCGCTTGCCGGAATCCAGAAGGGTGTTAACCCTGTGTTAAAGTACATGTAGATGGCTAAACACCCTCCTGGCTCCAAACAGACGATATAATCCTACCAGTCCACAAGTGCTGAGAGCCAGAAAGGCGATAACTCTATGAAAGGTGCTATGTATTAATTAGCATCCCTCTGGCTCTCAGCAGACTTTTCCATTCGTCCATTTCAACGATAAAACAGGTGCCAAATCCTAGGGAAATAAATGTACTGGGATTTCTTTAATTTCCTGAAAAAAAGTTTTTGTTTCTATCGTTTTCGTCTGCTGGATGTGACGTTTGGTTGGAGAGCATTCTTACCTCAAATCTTTTTAGAATTCTCCTCAATTCTCCGCTTTCGTTGAGTTCTTCCAGTTTCCTCAGATCCTAGAAATGGAAAGAATACAAAATATAAAAGAGTTTAATTTAAAGGGCAATGTTAATGAAATAATCACAAGTAAATGTCAAGATGTCTTGGAAGAGAGAGAGAAGGGAGGGAGGGAGGGAGGGAGAGAGAGATATAGAGAGAGAGAGAGAGCTAGAAAGAGAGAGAGAGAGAGAGGTAGAAAGAGAGAAATAGAGAGAGAGAGAGAGAGAGAGGGAGGTAGAAAGAGAGAAAGGTAGAAAGAGAGAAAGGTAGAAAAAGAGAAATGATCTTACGAAATATAAAAATGCAAATTTAGATCTCATTGTTGTACTTTCTCAAAGGTTACTGCATGTAATAAAAAGAAATTATTATTTTGTCTAATAGCATAATAATAACATAGCTAAGGACAATCTACAGGTGTATTGTACCAAATATTATACTGTTGATGGATGTCTAAAAAGCACACTGAACTGTAACTGTTATAGAAGACATACAATAAGCACTGATGACAGATATAATCAAATATTTAAAGACTTAATTATTACCCCAAAATCTGATGTAACTCGGCGTAATAAATGAAATGGTTAAAAAAGCAATCATTTTACTAAACAGATCCTGCTACCAGTCTAATTAAAGATTTGAAGGTTACATAAATGGAGATACAAAAATTCTGCCCCTGCATCGGCATCACGTATTGAATAACCTTGAACTAACCATTTCAATAGACAGAATACACGCTGTGCTGTATTGGAGTGTCAAAGTCATTTTACACATTCCATTTAGCACCTGTATGGAATATTGCATACGCACTACGCAGGCCTACTAAAATGTGTATTATAAATTGTTTTTCTTGTAACTAGGGTAAAGGAATGGTAAAATATAAAAAGAGACATTAAATGAGTTTCTGAGACATAATTGTGTACTAGTAATTCTTTAAAAGAGTTATAAAAGCAGAAAAGGTATTGTCTATGATATACACATGTACATGTAGGCCTATGTAATTCCAATTTAACTGACCTATATACATGTGACTTTAAAAGTGTTTTTTGAATGGGAAATACTGCATTATAAGTGCTAATTTTTATGTAAATCTATTTAAAGAATTTTATAACACTTTGGCTATTTGAAGGCATAAAACAATATCCCAAAGCCTTTACTGATTAAAACTAGGCACAAACCCATTTAAATGAAAATGTAACTATCAGTACCCGGCATCATAAATAACATACAAATTAATAAGCTATACTAAATAGCCTTCTACAATGGCAACAAACCTAAATTCTCATAAAACATGCTTGAGAAATTCAAAATAAAATATACAGGTACATAGTGTACATGTACGATTGTAATCAATTTACCAATATTGTTTGTTAAATTGTCTTCATGTAGCTCTACATGTAGCTCTGTTTATGACCACATCTCATCAGAGATCACATAATTTGTCAATAAATATTCATTATCACGCCTTGCAGGCAGTTAAGTGTTGTTGCCATGACAACAATGCAGCTTCAGCAAAGCTTCCAACGTGTGAACTATCCAGTGAAAAAATCAATTAAGCTCTGCTTTGCAAGCTATGAATGTGTTGTGTGTTGGACTGGCAGTCTAATGAATTTGATTATACTGGACATGTATGTACATGTAGCCTTCGTCGACCAGGATAACATTCTGATGTAATTCATTCATTTTTTTTATTTCCATTAAATTTATTATAAAGATATCATCCTTTGGCATTGTAAATGAATAATATAATAATTGAAATTGTGAGAACCAAGGATTTTTTTTTCCATTGTTGTTTTTATTGTAAATAAAATGATAATTTTTTTTTTATTTTTTATAAATTACATTGTAAACTCATTCTTCCCTTTTCTCTAATCTACTTTCATCATGACTGCAATGCAAGTGCATGTTATCTCAGCTCAAGTTTGAAATACTTCTTTCCTTCGAAATGTAAACAATAGGTATATCATGTAATTCATACAATGGTTCTTGGAACAAAACATGATACATTTCTTGAGATTCCATAATACATATTTACATAATGATATGGAAAGATATTCAAACCAACATATATTTGACCTTCATGTTTCATGCAAAAGAATTTTATTGACAAATAAATCCTTTTCTAATTCATATATCCTCAGCACAAATAAAGAAGTATTTTGTTACAAATCTTCTTATCTGACTCTACCATAGATTTACTAACACATGTTGTGCCATTTTGCATGAAAAATTATTTGAAAAGGCTAGTATCCAAATACGAGTACGAATGTTGATAATAAATACATGCTGTTTCATAATCAAATATTCTCTGCTAAAATGAATATAATTCATCCCAAATGGATTTAGAAAACTATTTGTCACGACTCTGTTGATTTACAGGTTCATTTACTTTGCTATTTGTCAATAGACCATACCCTTTTCTTCCAATTCAAAAGAATATTTCAAATTTTGCCACATTCTGAGTCAAACAGTCATTACTGTGGCCTTGCTTAGCCTACTTCGTAAACGAGAGATAGTTTGTTCTAAGGGAGACAAGAATAGACTAAACTCCGCACCTTCTCTTTTCACCAGTGCATGCAAACAGACGGAACAAAAGACGACTGTGTGGCTGCATCAGAAAGCAAACAAAGGTCTGAAAACAGTGACAGGACTATGCATAATACATTAAGGAAGTAATGTACATGTACATGTACTAGGTAACAGAAATATTGTCGCTCACAATAAAGACAAACCTACTTTGTTGAAACTTATTTCAGACTTGTTTCTGATACGGGTAGAATTACACTTACAATAAATGCAGTTTATAATCTGTGTTGGCTCTTTTTTCCTCATTTCTTGCTCAAAATAACATGATACCATCTGCTGAAAGACAAAGGAGCTTTGAACAATAGCTTCATGCGTGTATGGACATTTAATTAATTAGCTTTTCATAAAAAGATGTATTTGTCTACATGATGTCTGCGGTTTAGGTTTAAAGGATAATCATTCATGGATATTTTTCAGTTTGTGTACACAGTGCCCTTCTTTTGGCAAACATCTTTTGAGGATATTTGTCAAAGGAATGGATTTAATCTTTTATCAAGGCTAATATCGAAAGATTACACGATAACTTTGGTGTGGGATTACACTATCTTAAAGCGGAAAAACAAAGGTACATGCATCTTGGGTTCATTTGTCACAAAAAACACCTACTTGTCAATCAGATTTTTACCGTAGTCGACTGGTTCAGTAAACTAATCCTTAAGATAAAAATTCAATCTATCTACATGTATAGTATAAAAACAAAATGGCCCATTTATAAAAACCAAATGTTGTTCCTCCGTTAATCATGTGTGTTAAAAGATTTACATGTGTATGATTTATAAAAAGATATATGATTTATATGTATGCTCCTCCCAACTCCTTGGTAAAGACAACTTTCCTTTGTAAATACATAATAGTTTTGTCTGTTAATATCAGAAAAAGAAGTAATTACAACAACAAAAAATTCTCTTGGCACAGACGCCCCCAACCCTCCCCATTAAACACTCTTATAAATAATGTTGTGCATTTAAACCCCTATCTGTTGAGAGCCAGAAGGGCATTAGCATAATGTTGAATGATATGTTAGAATGCCTTTCTCAGCAGGAATATTGAAGAAAAACAAAACAAAACAAAATAAAAGTAAACAAATAAGAAGTAAACAAAGAAAGAAGAAGAAGAAAAAAACAACTTTATCAATCCCCAAGCATAATGATTTCAACACTCACCCCAACTAACTCTCCATCTATAAAACAGATAGGCAGGTTGATATCTGCCGTGGTGCCTAGTCTCTCCTCCAGCTCATGTTGATGTTTTGCGTTCATGAAGAGATCCCGCTCCTCGAACCGCACCCTGTGGTTCTGGAAGACTTTGCGGACGTACTGGCAGTCTTCGAAAGTCTGTCGGATGATCCTTACGCTGGTCGTGTAGATGATTATCCTACCGACCTCATCTGCAGAGTTAACTACTGACGTTTTCTGAATAAAAGAAATTAAATTTAAATCAATTAAGTAAAATCATCGTGCCCGATGAAAATGTATCATAAGAGGCTGCAAAAAAGGTACATTAATCATAAAATATTGATTCAATGATTCAATGAAATTGAATAATTAATATCAAAGTAATATTAAAATGAATAAAGTAATTTTTTTTTTAAATTCTAATTTCAAAATCTCTAAATCAATATAGGCTTTGATACATGTACATGCACTCAGTTGTGGCTAAATACAGGTAGACAGTCATGTTAAGCCATGGGAAGTATTGACAAAGTATTATAACCATCATTGTTTTTAATGACAACTGAATATATTACAGATCAGAGAAACTAAAAATTATGTAAAACACTGGTCTATGAGTGACAGCTTTGATCAATTGCCCGCATTATATATGTAACATCAATTTAGGAATAAAGGTGTGTGTTATCATCTGTTGATCGAACCTGTACGAAATGGACTGGAAAGGAATTGGTGACATCACAATAACTTCAAATGCTTTCCCCTTGAATCACAACCTTCAATGCTTTTCATCAATATCTTTTCATGAATATGATTTAGATTTGAGCTGGAACGTAAAGATTTCAACACAAAGGTTGACATTGACAGAAAGATGAAAGCAGATAATTCCTTTTACGCTCACGTCAAGACTTGTTTGAATAGGTTTCCAAAATCCATTATTCTGCGCAAACAGATCCTGAGTTATGCGGGCTTGAAATGCAAATACACTTTGCACGCTTATACCCTTTTTTATAAAATGAGACATGTCTCCCAACAAAAAAAATCTATTTGATGCCTGTACCTTGAAAGTATTTCAGACAATACTTTGCATAAATCCAATTCTTATTCTAATTCTTATTATTACATTAACAGACATCATACATTTTTTTTATAAAAATTACCCCCAAAAAGAAGAAAAAAAATAAAATAAAAATAAAAGATATAAAGTTAAACAATAAATTAATTAATTAAAATAAAAAAAACAGTTTTTAAAAGAAAAGGAAGGATAAAGGAAAAATGTATCTGGGTTCATTACTAAGAATGATCTGGTAATAAAGGTGTACCGACCAATAGAATAACACAAAAATGACTTGTCTGAACCCCGACCCCCCCCCCCCCCCCTCAAACAAAAAATGTTCAAATGGATATGGTGGCAATTATGGGTAACAATCTAAAAATATGTCACTATGCAGACCCACTATATCACTTCCAAAAATTAAAACATATTTAAATATATACCAACATGGCAAATAATATAACTATAGGATATATATTTATATATATATATATATATATATATATATATATATATATATAGCTTTATAGGCCTACATGTACTAATGCAACTGAAAACTCTCCCTCACCAGGTACATGTAACACCCATGAATAAGTAATAGGGAAGGAGGCATACATTACAATTACTGATCCATTTCAATTCATAGATCAATCAAAGAGTTATCGATCAGAAAGAGGGAGATAAAGAAGGTACAGTCCTGACGTTCTCGCCAATTAATGGTGACTTATATTGGATACCGCTGCCTTTTCATTCACATACCGGTATATAGATACATGTACATGTGCATGTAGGCTACCCTCAGTACACAGAAAACATGGCACCCCCATGTACTGTACACAATTCTAATTAACTGATGATGAATGTTTAGTGTATACCGTATTCTATTTTTTGGAGTACTAAACAGACCTACTAAACACAAAAATAATTTTTAAATATCAATTTAATTTACCAAACACTTTTGTTGTTTTTTAATTTGAAGTGTTTGAAGTATTGTGATTGGAAATAATAGAGTCATAAATTGCTCAACTTGCGGAATGTGGAGCAACGGGATATGAAAAGCTGAAACGGATGGCTAAAGACCCAAGTACTTGGAGAGACACTTGAAGTAGAACTCTGATTGGGTCACTGAACCTGTCACAAACTGACAGATCACTATTGATGATGAAATTGCTCAACACTTTTGTTAGGTTTATAAATTTTAGCTTTACCAAATTATCTTCTTCTTTGGTGTTGGGTAAATTATGCATGTCTTAGTGGCAAACTCTCTATAAAGGCCACTCATGTTGGCTCCCACTTAAAGGAAATGTGTGTTACGGCCTGTCTAAAAAGGCTTCCTGTCTTCAGTGGCCAGTTTTTGTGTTACCCTTGATAGCCTTTATATACAGGTTTGATGGTATATATAGTGTTGCATGATATTTATTTCATATCATATACATGTACACTGTAATAAAGCAACATGATATTTATTGCTTATCATATACATGTATACACAATATAAGTGACATGATATTTATTGCATACACTGTACATGTTTATGTAACATGATATTTATTGCATATCATATCATTACGTGATCCTATTCACTGTTTTTATGCATTTCTTACATGCCCAAGAAGGGGCCGTTAAAGAAATACAAATCATTGTCATTGTCATTGTCATTCAGAATTTAAGGTGGGGGATTGATCTTTCATCCCTAACCTAGACCTGCCTAGCTATTAAAATATTTGAGGATTCCCTGCATTACAATGTCAATATTATGGCCAAGTAAAGTAACACAGTCATGTTTTATGGGGCTAATGATAATGAACCTTTATCATAGGCTGATAAGACAATCCAGACTATTTGGAATAAGAAGGTCCATGGTCTAAACCATCACAGAATTAGAATGGTCCCATTACACTGTCTGCACTCAGGATTGAAATCTTACAAAGAAGGAAACTTAAGTAATCTAGGAGTTACTTAAACAAAGATTGATCCAACTTTAGAACCATCAAATTATTTGTAAGGTTGTCATTAAAGTGTATGAACTTAAATAAGGACAAAGCTCAAATATCTAAATATATAATAAAGGAGTGGTTACATCTACTAAATTCACATTCCCATTAAACATGTATCTAACCTCAATTCAGGACAAAGCCAAAAAGCTTACTTGTCTGAAATCCTTCTTGCATATATTAGATTATAAGTGTGGATAATGGGTTCTCTAAAAGTCTTAATAAAATGATTACTATAATATTTTACAGCCAATGTTAAATGCTAAGAGAAAGAAAGGCATCAAAGGATTAGTTTCTTCTTTTAGGAAGCTATGAGGAAGCTAAATATTGGTTGCTGGGTATTAAGTTCATACATGCAATGGTGTCTTTAACTCTTTCACTTGAATAATTATGTAAAATTGGGATTTAAAACGCCCATGCCTATTTCCATTCTTTTCTTTTTTTAAATGATAGAACCCCAATGGTAATAAGCTGATAATCACCTTTCATATCTTACCTTGTCAAGGTATATATATTTTTTTCTCTTTCTCTTTTAAATTCATAATGTAAGTGTAATTAGCAAATAAACTTAATCAATCAACAACAAAAACACCATTTAAAATACTCTTTGAAAACTTGTTAAGCAAAGTCTAGATTCATGTCATTAAATGATGGAAAAGGGGTTGAAACATTCAAAGTTGAAGGCTTATTGATGGCTCCCGACCATGACTACTGTTTCAACTGCCATGCCAACCAGGCTGAATCACCCATCATAACCACAGAACACCCTAATCCAACTAACCCAAATGTTTACCACCCAAATAGATCCATGTTTATCCTAATTCCTTACCCTCGCACTCCCACTCTATCTCCCTTTTCTACTCTCTCTCTCTCTTTCTCACCCTTTTCCCTTTTCTCTCTCTCTCTATCTCTGTTTTCCCACCCTTCCATCTTTCTCTCGCTCTCTTCATCTCTTCTATCTCTCTCCCTCATCCAACCATCTTCTCTCCTTCCCTCATATACTTTTAGAGTGTTTACTGGTTGTGACATAAAGGTTATACCTCCCTTATTCTACATCTCTCTCTCTCTCTCTCTCTCTCTCTTTACTCAGTGACTCTTCATGTGCATATGGGTGTGACACATCACTTTCCACATATTGACCTCATATTAACTTAACTGGGTACATAGACAAAGTTAATCTTCTGCCTTTAGTCCATAAATACCTTCTTTTTAACCTTATTTTAAAGGATGCCTCTATCTATATTTGATGTCCTTTTAAGAGATACTATTTAAAAAAAATTAACCTTCTTTCCTTTTGCATTTGCATGCTCCCAGGATTTGTTTTTTTGGGGGGAGGGGGGGGGGTGGGTGTCATAATTTTTATGAAAATAAGAATCATTCAGTCAATACAACTGTTAAGGAATTAACTACTTTTTAAAAGTAATACCAATTATAAACATTTTCCACTAAATTTGAAATTATGGACATTGGACAATGTCATGAAAATCTTCATTTTCATAACCTACATGTACCGGTATGTCAAAGTTAAACCTCACTTTGTACAGCCTCCTGAATAAAATAGAAACAAACCATGATATCCCTTTTATCTGTTTAATTATCTTCAAGTTGATGTGAGCCATAATTATCATCGTCAATCAATCAACAACAAAAAAGCAGGTCAGCATACATCAGGATTATTGAATTGTCACTCCGGTTGCTCCGGTGTCACTTTCCTACTCCAATAATTCATAGGATGCTGGTGGAATAAGCCCCCCCCCCCCCCCCTCAAGTACATGTGTACCTTTTAAAGAAGATCTCTCCACACACACAAAACCCATTTGCTACCCCCCCCCCTGCTTCAATTTACAAATTTAGATAATCCTTTGGGGTTACAGATTTGCTCTTGAAATTGGGTAATACATACTGTACACGTACCATCCCTTCTTCATTGTACAAACATTTTGTATACATCTGAAGTTTTAAAAACTGACTGATAAAAGTAGGGCCTATATGATATACTTGGATAGAAGATCATTAAGATCCTCTGCTTTAATTTATATGTCACTATACCGATATATGTTTTTATTAATAACATGTATCTATTATATTTTAGTGTTTATAATATTCATATCTCATGAAACATCATATTTATGTCTATTGATATTTATTTTTTATAATAATATATAAATTATAATACATAATATATTTTCATGATCTATAAGACATGAAGGTGTAAGCCTATATATGGAATTACAGCAAAATGTGCTTATGTAGGGAGATCTGAGTCAGTCTAGTATTATGTTCACTTGGTCAGCTCTCCGTCTTTGGCTACAAACTGACTCAGACGGACCCCGGTTCAAAACCGAGTCACGATTATGATTGATACTGGACACATCTGTAAAAACCCAAATTACACTCAAACACTCTAGGCATATTTTCATACACACCTGTACAATCATGTATTTATATTTTGTATTCTTTTTGAATTACTTCACCATTTGTTTGAAGAAAAAAAGGAATTATGAAGAATGGAATATATAATATTCATAGATATATCACCATATTATGTATGACAGGAAACACAAAATACAGTTTTAAAATTCATTTGACAAAATACTAATATTATACAAACCTTTTTATTATCCAGTGGTTTAAACTCGAAATTGGCTATGCCAGCCCTGACCCTATTTTTGACACCTCTCACTGTCCCCTTCACGCTCTTGATATCAACACCATCGCCACTCGCCAGACCTCGCCGACCCACAAACCTCAAAGTTCTGTTCTCATCCTCTGGCGTCTTTGTGGGCGATTTCAAATTCTCGTTCACATGAAATTGCATCTGAGGCTGATATTCGTTATTATTCTCACGGCTGTTGTTGGTGTTGATTGTCATATTTTTCGGCTTCTTTTCATGGGCAGCGAACGCCTCTGGAACGTGCAACTGCATCGGAAAACCACGGCAGAGGTGGTCTGTAAAAGACGAAGAAGATGTAGACATTGAAGATGAAGATGGCGAGCTCGGTTCGTCCGAGGAGACTTTCATTTGCTGAAAATAAGTGTCTAGATCCTCCTGAGACTCGATGTAATATAATCCGGACTCGCTGATGGGACCCATTTTTTTGGATCCTCTACCCCTGGGTGTAGAAGGCGATGCCATCGCGACAGGAAGATGGAATTAGGGAACAAAAAACGTACACTCAACAAGTAAAAACACTTGTTACGTCCACTGTAGTTATAAACCGGTACACCATATAAATTTATGCACTCTCACACGGCGACGCCACAACAGTAACTAATGCATGCAGCTAATATGACAGTTGGCGTTTACATTGTGCTCTGTGTTGTCGAATGCTAAGATTCGGATGGATGCATACCGCCAGGGGGCGTTGTGAAGATTCAGTATAACAGTGGTATCAGTGCGTGGAACGGAATTGTGAATAAGGGCTTGAGAGGAGAATAAAGAAGCCTTTGTGATGTGACGGAGTTCGTTTACGTCAAAGTCCGAGAACGCGTATTTAGGCGATCGATAAATGTATGGCTGAACTCTACGAGTACAAAATGATCATGATTGAATGACCCGTAACGAGTTTAGTGGGAATTTAATGAGGAAATGAGGGTTAGAAGACGGACATGGATTTCTAAGAAGGACTTGTTGCTAAATTGGATTGGAACGTGCTTCGATGTCGATGGAGCAAATCTCCTATCCCCTAAGTTATCCAAATCATGCTCACTGCCCCCCCCCCCCAGTTCCCCAATTTGGAGAGAGGGAAATAAGGACGGATGCACCTGAGACTTGAGAGACAGTGTTATATGATAGAAATAATCAAAGACATAAAAGACATAGACATTTTGGTCAAATGAAGAATTCTTATAATTGGCATTAAACAGATTACGGATATGAGGATCAATCCTGGAACTATAAATCGTTAATATTTGTTTTTAAAAAAGCCATTTACTTATGAATAAGAGGAGAGGAGGTGGGGAGGGGGGGGGGGGGGTTTAAAGAAGCCTTTGTGATGTCACAGGTCTTTCTTGGGAGTTCGTTTACATCAAACTCCGAGAACGCGTATTTTAATTAGACGACCGAAAAGTTTATGGCTGAACTCATACGCTAAGGAGGAATATGGCGAGGAAATTAGGATTGGAAAACGGATATGGATTACCAAGAGGGACTTAGTGCTGAATTGGATTTGAGGTGAGATGATGAGAATAAGCTTCGCTATCGACGGAGTAAATCTCCGAACCCGCATGCTCACTGCCCCCCCCCCCCTCCGTATGCCCCCTCTTTATTAAAAAAGAGAACAAAGGTCAAAGGGGAAGGTGAGGGGTACGGTCAGTAAATCTTTCACATAAGCGAGGCTCTTAAAAGACTTGAGAAACAGTTCTGCGATTGAAATAATCAAAGACATAGAAATTCGGGTCAAATGAGGACATTCTTATAATTGGCATAAAACAGACTCCACGAAGTGACGGTAGTGAGGAAAATCCGCACGCAAATTGTATGGGATTATCATTCACTACCGTCACTTCGTGAAAATAGGGACGGTTTGATGATCTTAAATAATTTCTGATAATTGTGGTTGATACATCGATCGGGATAAAACACTCTTGTACTCTCTAAATTTGAAAGTCTTATTTTTAAATCTTAAAGTCTTACTTTTAAATCTAACAGAGACTGATATTAGTGACGAACCCTTTGGGATTTAAAATAAGTCTAAGCTAAGACTTGAAATTTTAAGTCCCTGAAAAGGTTTAAAATTTAAGTCAATTGGATTTATATTTCAAGTCTTTTAATATTTATTTTAAACCTTTCTTGGATTCATTTCAAAATAAATCTAAGCTAAGACTTAAAATTTTAAGTCCCTGAAAGATTTAAAGTTTAAGTCAATTGTATTTATATTTCAAGTCTTTTAGATTTACTGGTCTAGCTAAGCCATTAGAACCATTTGGTAAAACTTCCAACCAATTGAACGGCAACAACACTTCAATACTGGTACGTCTGTATTATCAATGTAAAGGCATCGGTAATAAGTAGACTTATACATAATTTACTTAATCGAATTATTTTTCATATACTTGTATTTTATTGAAATTATTTTTGTTCATAGTTAATGTTTCCCTTATTCATGTTTAATTAAATGGAATTCATACGAAGTAGCGAAATGTCCTAATAACTTGTAATTTATATTTGTAGTATTTTCGAAATGAATTGCATATACCTAAATCATCAGTAATTAAGAAATATGCTGTAAATTCAGAAAAATTGTTTAAAAAAACATAGATCTGCACGCACCCCATATTCAATATGCAAATTAATTGGTGTCAGCTGGTTCAACTGGAAATATGCCAACAGTCAGTCATCAACAGGTGCAACTGGAAATATGCACATCTTATTGGCGAGAAGTTTAAGTCTTTCCAAGATTTATATCTAGAAGCTGGTTTCGATAAAACTTTTAGTCGAATTCCCAATTTATTAAGTCTTAAAGACTTGAAATATTTTAAGTCTCAAAATGGATTTAAAATTTAAGTCCTAGAAATTAAGAGAGTACTTGAACCTTTAAAGGCCTCATAAATACTTCTTTACTAAGTTTTAACATATTTGTGCGTATTTTATTGATTTATCGTACACTGTTTTGAAGCAAAGTTTTATGGAGTTTGATTTTTTAATATTATATACATTTTATTTTTAATCGTAATCTTCGTTCAGCAACCGACACATGTAAACTTATCATTCCCAAATCTAGACATTCAGCAGCTGAAAAACGTTTTGCAGTAGCTGCATCGAAGACTTGGAACAGCACCCCTCTTTCCATAGGGAAATTACCTGTCTTGCCACCTTCAAAAGATCCCTCAAAACTCACCTTTTCCCCCAATGACCCAATGTGATATACTTTGACCCAATGTGATATACTTCCTGTACTGTACATTTTTTGTCCTCTTTTCATAATTGTAAGCGCTATGGTATACTTATATTATTGTTTTTAGCACTCCTAAATATTCGATATTATTATTATATTATATTATAAATTGAAAATATTGATATTGAATAAGTAATAATTGAACAATTATTGAACAAATAATAAAGCAGATTAGTTATTTTTACGATTCTTGATATTCCGGCCAAATATCAAAGCGGTTGTCCACCCCCCCCCCCCAACCGTGGCGGCAGCTAGGTCTGGACCCTCTTCCAATGCACTCCTGTCACACATTTTCCTCCCCTCCCCATATCTTATTGCCCCTTTCTGGTATAGAGTTCAATCCAGTCTGCTTTAGGACGTAATTTTGTATTAAGAGTGGATTATGCCACACCAATTACCATTTATAACAGTGTAAACGAGCAGCAAAAATAAAAATAAAAATAGGGAAATAGAAAGTCTTGATAAATGCTATACCATCAACTTTTCGCATGTGAGCTGGTCTAGCGGTACTTTCATTTGGTCAGCTCTCTGTCTTCTGGCTCAGGCGTATCCAGGTTCGAAACTGAGTCACGTCTTTCGGTCCCCAGACGTATAATATCTGTAAAAACCAATTACTACACTCATACATAAACACAATCTGCGTGCGATCTAGCGATTGGCACTCTCCGCGTTTGTGTTTACCAAAAATATATATATATATTAAGAAATTGTTTTAGTATTAGGATACTCGTGATAATGGCATGTTAATAGACTTTACCGTACTTATTCTGATTTTTCATTAATTTTTGGACCTTGCTATTGACTTCAATAGTAGGTCCTGCTGGAGAATGTTAAAAGAAAACAAATAGATTAACTCTAATGCAAGTGAGGGCGCCATTTTAATATATAAAAATACGTACTTTTAGGTAACGGTTAATGTTTTGGTAGATAGTAATTTTACTTCTTTTTCTAATCAAAATTGATAAAAAGTTCAAAACAGTAATTTAAAATTATTTTTAACTCTTAAATGGAGACAATTAAAAATTAATTTGCTGTTTTATGTGATTCATAGATGCAATAAATTGCTATCTTACAAGCGAAAATCCTATGAATCGATCATGTGAACTGTAAATGAATATTCATCGATTAATTTGCATATAAAGCAAGTTTGCTTTCACAACGGCAGGGTCTTTTCAATAAGCCATTGTTAATCAGAGCATGAGGTATATAATGTAACGGTAATCCATGTGGTAATTAGGTAAACATTAATGTATGTACAAACTTATAGCTTGCACGAGGGTTTCCTGACATATCAGAGAATAACGCACACAAAACATGTTGAAGCTTCTAAAGTGCAGAAGAAAAGACCGGTTTACTAACATATTCAAATATTATGCATAATGTTTTAAGAAAGGCTGTTCTTGTCAACCCAAAAGCTTGCCTGGCATAGCAACAAGTAATGTATGCAAAACTGGATTCCAAGCATTGTGGTTCATTATTTAATAACGAGTTAATACCTCGTCACTAGGTCCCGAGAAAGGAAAAAGAATCCTCTTTATTAACTTTCATTTATTAAAAAGCGTTTATTTTGGTTATCTCTATAGCGCTGTTGTAACCAGTCATGTAAAATGAATAGGTAGATAATTTAATTATTAACTGAAAACCTGGTAATTGTCGCATTATATTTGTTAGGTAATTGTCACTTTAAATAATTTTATTACGTCTTCATTTAATCGTTTTTTTTTTGTTTTTTTTTTAATAGAATTGTTGCATTAAGTCGTATGTCACAAGTTCTAAACCATGTCTTGGATAGCATCAGATCCATATACCATCGAACCGGGTTGGCCAAACTCTGTGTATAGATTGCTCTGGATAGCATTAATGTCCCTTTATATAGAAGATATGGCGCCCCCTACGTCAAGTGGAGAGGAAGGCAAAAACAAATTCTGGCTGTTTTTTATCTAAACATGAATGACGGATGGAATCAAACTTTCCTTTTCATAACGACAAAAGGTTTTGTTTTATATAGCATTATATAATATACTGTAAGTAGAGTTGGTATGGTGGAGTGAAGAAGTCATACAGCTATAAATCATTTAGTATGTGGTACGAATTCATTTAATGGCATTAAGCTCATTTATCTAGATTTTCCACTTGACGCATTTTGCACCGTTAGATCTAGGGTATTGTTGTTTCAATATATTCATTGTATTGCTGTAAGAGTTAGCTCATAATACATATAAATTATTATCATCTTCTTCATCAACATCATCATCATTATCATCATCATTATCATTATCATTATTATCAATGTTATTATCATTATTATTATCATTATAATTATTGTCATCATCATTATTATAATTATCATTAGCAATGTTATCATTGTTAATATTATCATTATTATCATCAACACTATTACTATCATTGTTTTGATGTTGGTGTTGTTGTCGTTTTTATCATCGTCA